GGTTGGGCCGCCCAGGTATTTGTGTCTTTTCGGCGACTTTATAAAACGTACTGCTGATGGAGAAAGTCAATGGAGCAGACACATACAAGGAGAGAGACAGGCGGGGCACACCATTATGTTTGCAGCAGAGGTGTAGGTGTGTGCGTGAGGGGAAAGGGAGCAGATTCAATTATTGAGTAAACACTAAAACACTGAAATAAGGTGGAAGAATTAAAATGTGAAATAAGATAGTAGAAATAGAAAATCTACCCCGCTAACAGATGAGAGATTAAATGAGTTACATGGCGGTAAGCAGAATAACTGCTTGACATCTTCTGTAAGGTATCACTTAAAAGTACAACCTTGAGTGGTTTCAAGCTGTATTCTACTTAATAATTACTGTACCAAACTAGACCTGTCATGTCTCCATAGAATTTATTCTGCAACAGCCATTTAATATAAATTTACATTTAGGAGTTTCATCTTTATATATTCTGCCATTGACGCACTAGATTCTGCTTTCTCACACACAGGAGGGATTTACAGGAAACGATGCATGTATGCAATTCTATTGAATCTAATTAATAAGCGTTTCATTCAATGTTACATTCCCTTCTGCCATTGCTTTAAATTAAAAGTGTTAAGCTGGCAAAAGAAAAAATTATATTTATAAGTAATAGGACCTATTTATAATAGTTTGTTTCTCAAAACCACGTCACGGTGAACAAAAGGTGAAAATAATAATTAATAAGTAAAATCACCACTGCTGCAAAACTAATGATTCAAATTCTACTTTCAATTATGCTGCTGTGCAATTTACATTAGATTGTAGGGCGATGAGTGTCAGGACTGATGTGAGTGCGAGAGCGGACAACATCTCTCAGCAACTTATTAGCCCTGAGTGGGTTTGTGTGTATGCATATACCTTATTAGTATTGATCTGTACACTGAAGAAATAAGCAGGCCTTCCAGAACATAATGGAGACCACAGACTCTGCTCTAAATTGTCCCACAAGATGTTTTCAGCATTAAAATGGTAATTGTAAGGTGACTGGTCATAGATTCAATCTTTTGGCTTTTGCAGGAAAAGAATCCTTGAGGATAATACTGAAATCGCCCTCCTTTCAGTTGGATACTGTAAGGTCACCAGCTTAATGTTTAAAATAAAGGGATCAATGAAGTCATGAGGTAAACAGGACACCTGCAATGCCCACCCGAAACCCTGTCCTTTCCCCTTTCCTTTGTTGACACTGAGAGCTCCAATCTCATCTTTCACTGTGAATGGCAAACAGAGATGCAAGCGGATCAATAGCTGAAAAAAAAGAGACAAAGCAGTGAAGATGCCCTGAGCTGTGAAAGCACAGGTTTCTGTTTACTGAAAAAGCTAACCATGTCACAAAGACAGGACGCTACAAATCAGCCAACCGTCACTGGCTGAGATGTAAGGGACATTGATAACTTTAAACACACGCAATGGGTGGAGAAATATATATCGTAGAGGGAACAAAATAGAGAAAGAGGGAAGCGGCGGCTGCAAATCACCCCCTGACCATTCATTACATCTGTCTCTATGCCTGAGCGTTTGTGTGTGTGTGTAGGAGGAGATTACATTTATGCCACGGGCCGGCCCACAGATGAAACACTGCTCGGGAGGTTGATTAGCCACATCAGTGAGACACGGCAAGGCAATGCTGTTGGACCAATTCCCATCTGCCTCCTGCTAAGCAGCAACCAAGGCCAGATCGACTTGTTTTGATCCTATAAGGGGCTTCTGTGCCTGTTGTCCTTGGCGAAATGCAACAGCACACGAGGCCCAAGCTACCGCAAAGACTGAGTTAGCACTGCAGCGAATAAAAAAGGTTGCCACCATTTTGTTAGTGACAGTGTAGTTGTTATAGCACACACACACACACACACACACACACACACACGAGTGTGACTGTAAAGAAATGAGAGAGGGCCAAATTTTTGTGAGATGACCATTCACAAGAAAGAAGCAGTGTTCCACAATGTGTGCACAGCTGTTAGCTCACAACAGTAGCAGTGAGCAGCAGAGGAAAAGTTGGACTGGATATAATAGTAATTGCTACATTGATCACACGTCAACATGACGCTCAGTGTGAAGCTTGAGTCTCTGTTGAGGAGTTTTTGATTAAATGGTGAACCACAGTATAATATGGAGGCTACAATGAAGTATTATGTTTGAAACAGATTCAGATTTTCGCTACCACTGTGAGAAAATCATCAGAGGCTGATGTCCCTAAACATCTGAGGTGTTCATTAATGCTTTTCTTTTAAAATAGCCTCAATTGTAATCTGCAACGTGGGATTTCAGAGAGCTAGCATGGGGAGAAATAATTCAGTGTATTAAAAATTTGTAATGCATTATGTAAGAAAGAAAGACGGGTAAATAAAGCAAATATACGACACTGTATTGCCCCCTAACAGGGCACATAATGCAATTTCTTGCTCCATGTAGGGCAGCTCTTTTACGTGTCATTTAAAATGTCTAATTCAACAAGTATTCAAGTGAACTGACTGCCATTTGTCCCAGTCGGTTCTTGAGCTGAACAGCCTCTTTTGAACAGGGTGAAAGAATATTTGAAAGTTTCAGTATTCTCTTAAGGGTCTCAGCTAAAATACAAGATGAACGGTTTTCAGAACAGTTTGATACATGTGCAGTAAGTGTGTTTCTAGCCCTATGTTTTTATCTGCAATTTCAATATGTGCATGAAAACATTTGTGGAAACAATGTGAATTTAAAAAAATAAAAAAGCAGAAATATCAGAAAAACAGATTATATGCTTGGCTGAGGTGGAAAACCTGGTGGATCAATAAAGGCTTAATGGCATTCTACTGGACAATTAGCACCACCAGCTGTTTATCTCAATATGGCCAAATCCTAATCATCTGAAATAAAATTTTAGGCTGAATCTGAATGGAAACTTGACTCATGTAGCAAATATCAACACATCCTGCTCACCAAGAGGGACAGAATAGAAAGAAAAGAAAAGCTAGGAATAAACTGTGAATACCAAAAGGACCCAGGTTTGGTCCTGAACACGCCTGAGCCCTTGGCTATGAAAATGTATACTATCAAGGTGGAAACAGTGCAGTCCCAGGGCTGCTGCTCAGCTCCATCTTGATAGAGGCCTCTCTGAAAGCCAGTCGTGTTCCCCCTCACTGTCCAGATTCTTATCTTTGTAATTGCCTTCCAGTCAGGGAGGAGCACTAGCGGAGCTGGCAGTAGCGCTGCCTGCCACCCACTCCAAGACAGGGGACATGCTTCAATGGGAGACTCTGGAGTGCTGGGGCCTTTAGTTCATTGCCAAGAGAGATGCCGCTCTGTCAGCTTCACCTGCGTTCAGGATCCAAATTTTGTCTCCCAAGGGTACTGCTGAAAGTCCTAAGTGAACAGGGCACTGCAGGTTTACTGATATGTGTCACAGGTCCAGGTACTGTCGTTCCACAACACAGGAGCTCAAGCCAAGAGTGCCTCGACATTGGTATTTGAGATTAGAGTCACATCTCTACATACTGTCCACAATGGCCAGATTGAGACCAGACAGAGAACCAACAAGTGTAAGTACAAGTGTACACACTGCCTAAGGCTGCCAAAATCACAGTCATGTTTAACAGGATTATACAACTATATCATTAGAGTGTAGCTATTTAACTAGATTTTTTTATTTTAACAAATTTATTGTTGTTTCATTTTTATGTATTCTTATAAAAGCTTGTATCTTGTTTTGTCTGACACAGATATATTCAGCTCACTATTACAAATGACAAAAAAAAAAAAAAAAAACATAAACCATCTGCAAATACTCACATTTGCAAACCACGGACTATTTGGCATTTTAGCTTAAAATATGATTTAAATGATTAAAGGCTCATCAGAATTGTTACCAATCCATTATCCAATTCACTAATCGATTATTCAGCTACTTGTTTCAGCTCTACTGACTGAGCATGTTGAGGATCCAAAGACAAAGTAACCAAAACAGAAAGACTGCTGTATGAAACAAGCTAGACACAACACCATGAGCTACAGACACTGTGAAAGGATGTGGCATTAGTGGTTTGCCATTTCCAGAGAAAGTCTCTACGCACTCAAGCACGAAGTGATCATGACAGGGGGCTTATGAGACTGATAATGATTAGTCGCTTTCATATGATTTTCATGTCCATTAATTAGGCTACCTTATTGCTATTCAACTCGAGGTCTTGAAAGAGAAAAAGTTACAAGGCAACATTTGATATAAGACGGCAGTGCAGCCGCTGTTGTTAGGATTAGACTCAAATGTGACTTTGTACAACTCAATCAGCCTAATCAAATTCTGCATATATAGCTTCAGACTCCACATTCCTTCTGTTTAATGCTGCGCAAACAACTGAGTCCCAGGATCCCAGAAAAACAAGCACCTCGATCTCTCAACTGGGCTGAATTCATCATCTGAAAGCTGGCAGGAAAATCAATGAAAACTAATAAAAGGGTCATGCAGCGTGAACACAGGCCTTATTTGAATTATGTCCAAGGATGCGGTCTGGTCCTATAAAGTGCCTGGTGTGCACTGTGCAGTACTGGCAGAAGTTAGTTGGTTGTATGCCCCGGGACTGTTATTGACTATGGGAATATTTGAAATAAAACATGGGTCATACAAAAAACAGCCACAACCAGCTTATCCTCATTTCTTTAATTGGTCTCAGCTACTATATGTTTACTGTGCGCTTTCATTTTCTAAATAACAGGAATTTTCGGGAAAGAGAAACTGTGACATATACATGAGACATAGTTCATGTGAATAATGACTTTCTGAGGCCAACTTATTCTAAGAGGATGAGTCTGGAGGGAGACAGCACTTCTGTCCCCTTTCTCTTAGAGCTCCTGTCCTTGGGGATGAGATTTCCACCTTTCTCGAATGTATGCACAAATCCAGACTTTATACAAATCCTTTCATCTTTCCGTCCCTTACCAAATCATCGTTACATAAAAGCAAAACCATAAATGCCATACATACCTGCCACGTTAACCTTTTCAGCGTTTGTGGCGCTGGGCGTGGCAGTGCTAGTGCCGTTGGTCAGGTTGCCCCCCGTGCCGTTGTAGATGTTTTCCACCTTGGACTCCAGCTTGCCCAGCCTCAGCATGATGTTATCCAGCAGCACTGCAAGGGTCTTCTTTAAGTCTGCAAGTAAGAACATGAATCAGATTGTTGTGAAAGAGACGTAGCACTATTCTGCACTTAACTATGTCAGGTGCACTGCAGTGCTTTAGGAAACAGTTCACAGATTTGGCTAAATCAATACATAATCACACATCTGACCCAAAAAAAGAAAAGAATGTATATACGGCTGTGAAAAAAATAAATATAAATAAAACTCCTAGTGTGTGTGTGAGCACACCCCGCCCCTCTTTAGCCTGTTTAGCCTGCTTGCTAGTTGCGTAATTCCCAAATCAAACACTAGCTGCAAGCCTGGACTGCTCTTTACACTGCTGCCTTAACATTGTACTAGCAGTCTTCAAAACACTTGTAAATACCATGTGAGAGGGCGGTTTGAGCGCTGACAGTAAAGTTACCAAAAGGAGCTTTCAACATCAGGCAAGTTACGCTAGCGTTAGCATCTCCTGACCCCTAGCATCTCCCAGGTTGAAGGTGAGACTGTTACTAAAGCTATGTGTTTCTTTATTTACATGTGCCCATACAGCAGCACTGAAAATACCAAATTCAGAAGGATGACACTGATCCAGGGAGTGAGGTAAACAATGTCCAGTTAGCAGCCTTTCACTAGAAAACCTCATCTTTACTACTGTTGGTGTGGCAGTAAACAGAATTCGTCGGGTTTAGTTCTTCCGTACTTGAAATTAAAATTGAGAAATTTATTCATTTTAGTCACACTCAAGTCCTAATCACAGCTTCATTAAATCACTTTGAATCAGCTTTATGTTATGAAAACCTTTAGTTTAAATAAATGGTTGTGACAATGTGATACAGTGTGACATGATATTACTGAATCATAGCCTTCACAGCAACAGTGTCTGACATAAATATATTAAATGTCTGGTATAAGGGGCAGAAAATATACAAAAGTAGGTTTTAGTCTTGTGCAATACACATCAGCGTACATAATAACATGATGTAATACTTTTGAAGAGCATATGAGTCTTATTAAGTAGATTTGTATCTGTATCTGATTAACTGTGTAATTCATTCCGACTGAGAAGTCCGAATGAGATTACAGTTTTTTTTATTAGCTTATCACTGCAGCGAATACATGCACGCTGCTGCCTGTAGTCTGGGCAATATTGCTCAGCTGCAGTGTGTCTGAAAATGTACAAACAGGGACTCTGCATCTTCCACTACGAGTTGTTGGGTTTCAGGCAGTCATCTTAAGGCTTTTTTAAATGCAAAACTCTCTTTGTGAGTGACCTTGCTATTTAATTTGGATCTGCAATTCGGTGGGCATCTTTTTTTCTCCCCATGTGCATTTATCTGCAGAGGACACAGCTAATGGTGGAACGGAAACGGATGCTGATGAGTAATGAACTAAATAGGGTTTACAGTGGCCTTATTTTTATTGCGGTATTTGTCTGATAACCTGCAGCAATTGCACTGACATTTACAGAGAAATAGGAAGTTGCTTCGAGCTGCTATAACTGGTTCATCCACTATGACAACAAATATGTTATCAGTACTATGCTGCTTGTCTACAGCAGAGCTCTGTCATAATCATCAGATTCAGTGTATTATATCAATGCATTGGCTTATATGTGTTCAGAACAGATCCAGATTTCATCATGCTCGCATTCCTCAGATGATTATTATTGCAGCTTGTCTATCACACACGAGCGCCACATTTTGCCCTCACCGCGATGCATTTGACACGCCAGTTTTCATCACGTCAGCGAGATTGGCAAGGGCACAGCGAGGCCTGGCACCAGCACCAGCCCAATTCGTGTGAAGACAAACGCCGGAGCATTTGTCTGATTTGGACGAGCTGGGAGCTGGGAGGAGCAGATGCACAGTGAGACCGGGAAGAAAGCAAACAGAAAGCTTTGGAGCAGCGGCCCTGCCAAGCCATCGGGCTGAACATAATTAGGGGGGGGGGGGGGGAGTGGGAGAGCCCAAAGTTAATGGCCCCCTCTGTTCACCTCTGGCACACAGGCCTGTGCCCACTCTCTTAAGGCTGTACATTCACCAGACTTGTTTAATATCCAGCTACTGTCAGCATGCTTTACGATAGGAAAGACAAAGATATGTAAACTTCTTGCATGTATAATCGGCTTCATGTCTTTCTTGCACTTACATTTACAATCAGGAGCAGAACTTTGTTAAGAAATAAGAATGAAAAAGAGAATACACATTGTGTAAAAACATGGCAACATCTTTAAGGCAACAAATCTACCAAGAAAGAAAGAAAAGACATATTCTTGTATTTGCCTCATTTTATAATGGTTACACTTACACTAAGATAGCAGGCCTTTTTTAGTCTATGTTCAACAATTTAGATTGATCAAATTGTTAAAAAAAATGCCTATTTGAACATTTTCTCTGATATTTTAGGAGATGTGAGGACCAGCTAGCTGAATAAGGCTGGCTGTCATCTCGACAGCTCGCGTGCCGGCTCCCGAGACAACCCGTCAATCGTCGTCCATGGTAATCCCAGCAAAAGAAATCTTACCTCAGCATGCCCTTTGTTAATATCTCTGATCTCCATAGTGGTTTGAACATCAGAGACATTAATGTTTGTTTTATCTCAGAGTTGAAATCTAATATTTGTTGTTGTCAAATTGGTTTGGCTGAAGGACATGTTTTTATTGGACAGTTAAATGTTGTACAACAGTGCTTCTGTGGATTTCTGGCTCCTTAAATTTACAGATCTCATCACATCATTGAGTTAACAAAACATTTTAAATATGTATAAATGTCAGCAAACAGAGACAGTCTGATGAATATTGCATTTTGTTTTATGGTAAATAGAGTGAAGATAACAGGTGTATCTACAACTCATCGTCAATACGGACAAAAGCTGTTGCTTGTACAGAAGTCTGCATTCATCAATAGCCTTGTATAAGGTGACGATAACAGAGTTCAAGGTGTATTATGTTTTTTCCACAAGAAGTTTCTATACAATAAACAATTTGCAATTACTTGATCTGTAAAAAAAAAAAATTGAGCTGTTTATATTGGTGGATATGTATTACATAAACTGAAAGCAAAAAAAAAAGTCCCTCAAGTTTTACAATAATTAAATGTGAGTCAGAGACCTTCATTAGCAGGTGTGTTAGCAAAGCTGTGAATAATGCCTCATTCTTTGCCCTCCTGCACACCAACACTGCTGCCTGGTAACCAGATGAATAATAGCACACCTCGGGACACATTTCTGCCTGTCTCAGTTGCATGACTGTTGCAGTTGCAAAACAAATCCTGGAGCGGTAAACACACTGAACTTCACTTTGCTTTTAATAATGGTGTCATTTAAGATAATAATCTGAATTCAAAATGACCTAGGATTTTTAATTAAGCTCATGAGCATTAAAAAGAAGTGACTGCGGGGGAACATAAGCCCATTAATCAGGGATGCCTATTGTTTAATCCATAAAGCAAGCTTCAACCCAGCCTGATACTGCTCTTCACAGCTTTCCAGTGTACTCACAAAGAAAACAGGAGCACACAATGACCTTCCACTCAGAGGATGGACAGCCTCTGTGAAGTAACAAGGCGCAGTGTCAGGTGGCTTGTCTCACCCAGCTGCATAGCTCAGTTTCAGGAGGGGTGGAACAGCAAAGATCATGTACTTGTCACATCTGACTTTAATGTGGAGGAAGAAGAGGGTATGACACCGGCCTGAGATGGGCTTCAGGTAAAAAGATTTAATCAATAAGTTGTCATTCCTCAAGAAAATGCAAAATATTCTCTAATTCCAGTTCTTCCAATTCTATTTAAAAGTAAATGTTTCAAAAGAGGATAGAACTGCATATTAGCTTTCTTTTAGCAACTTCAAAAAATCATTTAAGTGGTTGCTGTTTGGAAAGAAACAAATGAAACTTTCAGAGAAAAAAAACATCACACCACTGACAGGAAGTGAGAGGCATACGTACAATTCTAAGACTTGGTATAAGTGATGAAGTGAAGTATAGAATAGATTTTGACACCATAACTGAGGCAGTAGACTTCTTCACGCATCCAAAATGTTGGAATTGATCTGAAACAGACCCGTGGTAAACCTACCTGAACGTATAAATTTTTTCTTAAAAAGAAGACGAGTGCAGTCAGAACCAACACTAGCAGCAGCGCAACAGACATCAATTAAAAACCAGCCGTTGTTGAAAAGAGAAGATATATAATGATAACATCCTCCACTTAAAATCATAGAAACTAACTCCAAACACAATTTGTGCTTCAAAGATTAATCCATAGACTTAACTGACAGACCTATTTTCACCTCCTGTATCAACAGTAAAGCACTCTCACATAATTTTTGGACTAATTAAATACTAATGAATAAAGTTCCATAAGGTGATGTGTTTTCTCCGATCTGCTTATCTCCTAAAACATCTTCTCAGGCAATTGTTATGATGTACTGTGATCAGAGCCGACACGGATACCCTCGGATTAGATGTAGTGCCACACAGGCCCAAGACGCACAGCAGTAAAACGAGACCCAACCCAACCCGATTAGACTGAGTATAATTTGGACCTGATCCTCAGAACCGACAGGACCCGTGAACAAATCCAAACTATATCAGACAAAGTTGCTGACCCCAAATATTTGGTAAGTTGTGGACAAAATGAGATTTGTGGTATCTGTCACAAAAAGTACATTTTCGCCAGTTTTGGTTTAGAAAGATGTTCAATCTTTAAATTTTGAAGACTCAAGCAAGCGCAGGAAGTCGTAGTGAATTTAAATATTAATCAACAGGGTGCAAATTTGGTTTCTAAGACTTTAAATCTGTTAATTCTCTTAAAAAGGGCCATATTTAAAAAAAAATATATGGTTGGGAAAGAGGTTTAACAGTAAAAATTAGGAAATAAGGTGGTAACAATGCTTAACATGAAAATACTGAAGAAAATTAGCTTGAGATGTAATATATTTAGCACCATCTAATCCCAGCTCTGTGTAAAGAGGCAGACTGACACACTGATTTCATGCTTTTCAACAGGTGTATTTCTTACAAATCAGCCCTATCAGCTAACCGTGCTCCAACTTCCTCCTTTCAGGAGAAACAATTATAAATTCAAACATTAATATTTGATGGGTCATTTGATGGCCAGCAAAGGAGAAAACACGGTTTTCCCTTAAACTCATTACAAATCGTATCAGGGCAAATCATCGACAGAGTGAGTGAACACAGGAAGCACAAAGCATCCTGCTGCCTCTCTAATCAAGGACCTGAAATGGATTTTGATTTGATATTGGACGGAGGTCAGTGGCCGCGGCTCCGACAGCACCCTGAGAATCAATCCATCTTGTAAAGGAACAAAAGAAACTGGACAGGACACTTTTCCTGGCAAACTCTGGATGATGTTACGGGAAAATCAACATACTGCGCTTGGATCACATCTACCCCAAATGAGCCCCATGATTAATTATGACTCCTATGTTTACGTAGTATACAGACTTAATATATATGTATAGCTGTACAAACTAGCCTTATCTATTCTTCATTTTGAGTTATTACTACCAGGTCATCCTGAACTAATCACATGACTAAATAAGCCAGATGTTGATGTTTGAGGTAAATAGAAGTACAGCTTGTTGGCAGCACTTTGCATATGGTGGTACTTTACATAGTGGTCTGGTATTTTCCACATGTTTGCATGTTTCTTTAAATAAAGAAAAAGAGAGATGCCTGCACACTTCAGCTTAAAAAGGCAGGTGCTACATATGTTTCTTTTTGTACTCTTCTTCTTTACGTTCTCAGGGAGCTGATTTAATCTCCCGGAGTTTTACTGTATCCTGTTGTTTCTCCGGACGTTAGAGAACAATCAATTCCCATCTCAGGTCTCTAATGAAGCCTCCCATAGAGCCATACAGGCCTATTAATGGCATGAATAACTTATTGATGGGTCTTCTGGACCTGTGCTATTACAGTGTTATGCTCCGATGCAGCTGTATCAGCGTTAAATCTCCCAGGCAAGTTTTCTTGAATATAGGCAATGTTGCGCCTGCTCAAGAGGTAGACAGGTGGAACCATTCGATCCAGTTTAAAGAAGATGTATAAAGAGATGGAACGCAAATGTTGCGTACATCATTACTAAAGCCTTCCTACCTATTTTGTTGTTTTATTACCTTGTAATGATCTTATGAAAAATATGGTTCATGCAACATTGATTACATCCATCTTGCTCTGCTAACAGCAGGCTGTAGCTCCATATATATATATATATATATATATATATATATATATATATATACTTGTAACGTCAGGTGGATGTTTCCCTGCGTGAAAATATTTCCAGTCAGTCACAGAGCAATGAACCCTACATTTTCTACAGTGGAAGGAGAAGACTGGCTCTGCTGCATGACCACACAGTCTGAGTGTATATAACTACAGATCCCATCATTTGGTGGATGTAAACAGGGGGTATAATGTTGCCTTGGACACGGTAGTTAGCTGTGGGCAATTTACACCCTGCTTTTTAGTCTATAAATTGTTTACATTTTGGCAAACTGGCATTATTAAAAGCATGTTAAATTAGCTATAGGCAGTTCCTGTTTGCAGTGTACCCTTGGATGTACTGCATCACTGGATAAGTGATACTGAGGAAAACTTAAAAATGATATTCTTAGGCAAGTCACATCAACCATGCTTGAAACACTGAGTGTCGTCACACTGAATCTAAAAATATGTGCATCCTGTCTGTATGTTTAAATTTCACTAAGTTATGACACTAAGGGTTTTAAGTACCTTAACTGGCTCCACAAGCTGTTTGCCACATCCACTGCTGCAGCTCTAACTGTTGACAACATTAATGAGAGAACAAATCATCGGGCCAAACTACAATAATTAGCGTCTTGTTGCTTTTAGAACACCTGCATGCACCTGTCCCTTTCACTCAAGCACTATCTTTGTAGCTTGTCCACTTATCAGAAGGACAGTGATTTGATCCCCGGCTCCCTAAGTCTACATGTCGAAGTATCCTCGGGCAAGATACAGAACCCCAAATTGCTCCTGTGTTTCTGACGGTAGAGGCACCTTAGCCTGTGTGTGAAAGGGGTGAGTGTGATGCAGTGTAAAGCACTTTGAGTGGTCAGAAAGACTAGAAAGGCTCTATACAAGTACAGACAATTTCCCTCCTCTAGGGATACGTGCCTCACAGTTTGAAAACCTCTTGGTTACATGAACTAGCAGGTAGAGAGCTGGCTACTCACCGTAAGCTGTCATGGTACCCACATAGGGCCCATCCATGACACTTTGGTTCTCCTCAGCCAGGGCCTTGATGTAGCGCTTGCTGAGGTCCAGGATCTGCTGCCTGAGCACAGCGCTGTTCTCGTGGCTGGCACGCTGCTGGATGGTGAAATGCAGAAGCATCATGCCCCAGATGAACCCAAAGCTGACCAGGAAGAAGCCCAGCTTCTGGGATGACAGCTTCCACAAGAAGGGTGTCGCCATGCTGACTTGACAGAGAGCTGTTGGGGCTGCGGTGAGTCTGATTTGACAGAGGGAGGGTGCAGAGGTCGGGGAGGTGAATCAGGAGGGCTGGTAGGGCATAGCTGTGTCAGTCGGTGTAACTGCGGTGGTTTTTGGGGAATGGTGTACGGCTTGTTTGCCTCACCGGCGTGATTTCCTTCTCTGACCCATCCTCATCGCTCAGTAACATCTCAGTGGACGGAGTCCAATCGGTTGCATCCTGCCTCTGAAAAGACAGAGAGGAAAGACAGATGAGTATGTACGTTAGTTGGCTGTATGGCTGGACAATTAACCAAAAGTCGGAATCACATTATGGCCTACTGCAATTTTCAGATCGCAGGAGGCGCAATACTTGTTAAGTATTTTAAAGTAAATATTGTCATGCAGCAGAGATGTCCTGGTATTATTATTATATTCTTGAGACATCTTCATCTCAAAAATGCTCACTCCCCCTTGTCTCGCAAATTTCAAATTCAATTTATTAGTGGATAGCCCCTTGAGATGCAGCATCTCATTTTCAAGGGGGTCCAGAAACATGCACAGAAAATACAAAATCAAAAACATTACTAGTACTCAAATACACAAAAACAGTTGTCTCACTTAGCAGCATGCACCCTCACACCAGACAGACAAATACAGAAAAAGAATATCAGAAGGTTCCAATAAAATTGCAACAAAAGAAGACTGGGTTCATATGTGTTTTAGCTAGTATACTAAATACATCACATACACTTGAAATACACAGGTCAAATCACTTTACCTCACTGCACAATAAGGTCCAACAACAACATCGGAAATTCAGTGCAAAAATAGTACCACATAAGAAAGGTAGAGGTCAAATCCACAATTGCAATATCAGTAAAAATAATCAGAATTAGATATTTTTACTGGTTGGTTGGTCTGCTAAATACAGATAATGAGGGACTTCCCTCTCCCAATCCAGTCCCACATGGACATGATTAACAATACAACTGATAACTAGACAGTGAGTCAGCAGTGTTAGCCACCATTCAAGCCAAGTAAGAAGTAATAGTGGAGAAATAAAATGCCAATTACAAGTTCCGAGAGCTCAAAATAACATCATGTGGCTTATTCCGTCTGACCGGCAAAACCCAAAAACATTACAATGATGAAAGACAACAGAGCAGCAAACCCCAGTGTTTCCTGAAGCTGGATATTATAGCTTAACCTTAAGTCCTACTTTATAACGTAATGCTTCAGTGAGGTTGAACTGACTGATAAAAAAGGCGCGAGTTGCACAAAGGCATCATAAAGTCCACTTGAATAGGTTTAAGAGAATGAGGAACTAGCCATGAAGGGACGGCGGTATTGTGTGTAGTACAGATCTCTAGCCTGTTACTTTAAGCAAAGCAGCCTGTTTATGACCGCAGCAGACCACACAGCACAGAGGCACACTGTATCTGAACTGGAGGTCGCTGTGTGCGGAAGCTCCTACGGTATGCACGCAGGATGGCAACGCAACAAACTGTGTTACCTGGACAACATGGGAGAGGCTGAATGGAAGCAAACAGTATAGTGAGTTAGCCTGAGTACGGAGGGGAAACTGCTCCTCACCTTGTTCAGTCAATAATGTGTGCATATTATACAGGGCCAAGTCAAACTAGAAGAGTCTCTTTCAAAAGGAGAAGCAAGTTATGTTGTAGATTAAGTCGGACGTTGAAGGAATACAGACTTTAAGGAAGTATATTTGCCACTACTGGTTAAAAACAAGATACGGTCTTTAGAAGTAATTTAAAGTTCACTGCTTCTCTGAGGGCTACACAGAACAGCCTCGTCTCACCCAGACAGTTTGATCTTTATGATTGATGGGGCTGTATGGAATTTATGCAAGAGGGTTGATAGTTCCCTCAAAATATAAACATTTGGATAGCCTGCAATTTATCTTCCTCGCTGACAAGTGAGAACACAAACAGAATTTTAAATACATTGCCTTTTCTGTTATTACATTTGGTTGTTTTGTTTTTTTGCCAAATGTTCAACCGTCTTTTCCGCTAGACAAATGAAGGATGCTGTCCTCCTTGCCTGTGTGTGTGTGCGCGCGTTTGTTTGAAAGGTAAAAAAGGTCAAAGGTTTACTTATTTACTCCCACTAACAGGAAAAAAATTAATCCGCTGGCAGCAAAAGGTCAGGGACAAGGTGTATTAGTCAAAAGAAGTTTTACTCTGTGTGTTGTTCAGAGCTGTGTTTCTTGTGTTGAAATTATTCTTCTTCTGGCGTTTTGGGAAGTTACCAAACAACTTCAGGACAGAAGTAGCACGCGGACAGCAGGCACACTTCTCGGGAAAACATCCATTTAGCAGACCTTCTCTGACGTGGGCAGACAAAATTTACGTCATGTACCCACACAAACCTTCGCAGCCAAGCAGGTGCAATGTAAATGAAAGCGTCTTGAGGAGGTTGGTTTTTTTTTTCACAAATCACAAAACCACACGTTGTTCTTCATATCCTGTCCTTGCTACTTTTGTTTTCCTGTGACATCTGACTGCTGCATTTCCCGGTGCCTCAACACTCAATTTTAACGAACAGAAAACAGAAGGTCTGAGCTGTTTAACTACAACTTTCCATATCATCAGTCCAATTCTGTAAATAACCAGAAAATGCCAGATCTAACACTTTATTAAAATGTGTTTCATTATAGATAATATTCCAAATTCTGTATTTCATTGTCTCAGTACTCAGAAAATCACATTTCTTTGCCTTTAAACCTTTCCCCTTTCTCCACTGTGTTGGCAGCTTCATTAGGTCTGTGAGAATAAGCCCACCAGGCTAATTAATGTAAGCTGTAATATGCTGCTTTCATGCTTGCTATCTTTATTGCTGATTGAACACAACCGATGTCAACGACAACATATTTGGCAAATAAAAACATCAAACATTAGCCCATAATGCAAAATGAGACAGCCCTGCAGCACTTGTGACGCCGTTAAATAGTTCAACAAGCCTTAACTGACAACCCTAAAGGCATGCAAAGCTTAATGAATGCCTCTGGCTTTTGGCATTAAGCAGCAACAACAACAAAAAAATAATCTTTCCAGCACGCATTCAAGCCAAAAGAAAAAGATGTTCTCTCATCTGCATTCAACAGCAGCTGTAAATGAGGCTAAGTGTGGGGAGGGGATTTCTGCAGCCTTGCTTTTGAACTGCGTTTCTCTTATGCTCTTTCAAAGCAGCTCTAACCAGGTCAGGACCACTGCGAGAAACCCAATAATACACACTGAACTCAGCTAAAGTGATTTCACCTGTCCATATTTTAATCATTGCGTTTATTGATTTCAAGCCGTCAGAATTTAGAATGAGGCGCAGCAAAGATGGTTATATCAGTGCTGAGTGGTGTTGAGGAAATCATCAGCACTTTCCTGAGAAGCAAAAGAGGCAGCCACACAAAAGGCTCTTTTCACCTTACATCCATCAGCTTCATAAATAGGTCACAGACAGCTGCAAGCAGCTTCCAACAGGGCGGGAATCTCACAGCAGGTTATGACACCATAATTGTTCAGTCATTTAAGACAAAGGCTCGTGTTGGTTTTCTGTGCGGACAGAGAGCTTTTTATACATTTTAAAAAGGCAGGGATAAATACTGTACTGTCTGAAATGAAGACAAGGAAGAATTCAAATTCCTGTATCTTTTATTTTTACATTTTACGCTTTGTAATGTGTGCAAAACAAGGCTTTCAGTGGGGAGAAAAAAAAAGTCTCTGCACTGCACTGTGAATTCACGAGACAAGCCCTTGGCAGTAGCACCGTGCAATCTGCAGCGCTGATAACATCGGACGTCTCTCGCTGCTGGGACTCGCTCGCTTGGAGGGAGAGCAGGAAGAAGCTGGCAACTCTTGTTGGTTGGGGAGCAGACAAGGAAGGGAGGCTTTGGGGCTGTTTATCAGAGAGGGAACGCAGCTCAGACTGCCCCGTCGTACATCGCTGTAAGAAGCACGAGCCAAAACCTACACAGAATCGTTTGAGTTCATGAATGCACACAATCTCAGTCGGAGCTGGCTCTGTTGTCTGGTCTGATTTCCTGCGTCCATCCGTCTTATTCAAGTCTGAAACTGAGCGTGCAATATCACTCCTTTGTTGGGAAGCCTTCCAATCACGGGCGGTGTCCTATAATCTGTAGAGACCCCCCCCCCAGCACTGCATGTATCTCCTCACAGTTAGCTTCTGGTTTCTAATTCAGGATCTTAATTTGTCTGGAAGCGAGCCCTCTGGCTCTCAACAGCAACAGCCCAGTGAAAGTACGCGTTGACAGCCAGCTGGGATTGCACAATAAATGATCTTTCGCAACCTGAGATGATAACATAACAACCTGCTGAATGGTTGTTTCATTGCTGGAAGAAAGTAGCAGCGCACAAACCCCTGTAGGTTCAAAAGGCGGTGAAGACAGAAACAATTGAATCATTGAAGCCTGGGAGAAACCGCTGTCCTCCCAAATCTACTACAAAGGACGTTTTGCCTGTTAGGGACAACAGAGCTGAAATTTCAGCTCCAAAACGGCTTCTGTTGTTCAGTTCCCCACAATGAAAAGGAAAAGAGGAGGGTGTGTACTCGTCGCTAGAAAGAAAATAACAAAGAAATATTCATTTTAAAAGATGCCATTCTGAAATTCAAGATTTGGTTGTGATAGGTTTCCTGGGTCCTGTTTGTGTTGCAACTTTTATATTTAAGCACTGCAGAAAGCCTTTACTAAATTCATCAAAATTAAATAAAAACATTAAAACAAAGTGCATATAAATCATTACCAGTGCAGCGGACTGCTTTTCAGTAGTCGTATATTTATGATTTATTTATAGTTTGTTTTAGTAGGGACCGATACAACTGATATAGATAAACTGAAAACAACAATCGAATTTGTGCATCATAGTGTTTTTAACAGTTGCTAATTTGCAACACCCGTCCCTAGAAGGGCTTTCAAAGAAATACAGCAGTGAGGAAATGAGAAAAGTATAGTACAATACATTACAGTAGAGCACGAGACCAAAGGAGTTATAATGAGTATATCAAGACACAATAAAACACATGTAACAGGAACTACAATAGACCAAACACGAGTACAAGTTTGTTGCTGAACTAACCAATACGAATGTTTACAATGAGTGGTATTTGTCTATGTTGCAGCGATCTTTATTTTCCCTGTGTGCGCAGAGATGTAACCGGTTTACTGTAAAGTCGCATGGATTTAGAGTTAACAAGGATATCGCAATGTCAAAA